ATTTTAATTTACCTCGTACATTTCGTTGCACGTTTTCACCGATTCATTCCATAATTTCATCGATTCGTTTTTCGTTATTTCCGTGAAGAAAAGCATTCGAAAGCTTACGAATATATTTTGATCCGGATTACCTTGATACTCGTACCATCTGCAAATAATTTTCCATCGAGTCTATGCTCGATAAATATCGCTTCGCTTCGTGCGATTCGTAATTTCTTTTTTTTTTTTTTGCTTACAATTTTGGCGTACACGTGCTAGCATCGTAAATTCCACAAGCCAGATCCATAGCTAATTTCCCACTCTGAGGCATGACCACGTTCTTACAAGAGTCGTAAGTTTTGTTCATGTATTCCTCCTCGATGTAAACCTTAAAAAAAAAAAAAAAAAAAAAAAGAAACCATATATATTATATCTCAAAAGAAGCGGAAGCAAAATGAAATAAGAATCGCTCACTTCGATTTCCTTCACGTATTCTTTCCTAATTCCTGTTTCCGTCGTATAATTCCCTGTTTTCGTTACGCGGAGAAACTTGCTTTGCACGGGGCTACACGTCAAGTCGCACAGCAATTTGTACGCATTTTTCAAACAAGTTGGACACCTGCCGAATATACCTTCGGCCATATTCAAATTCTGGAGCAACGTTTTAACATTGTCAACGTCGCAACACAATTCCGGTGAGTCTGAAAGGGAGGGTATATAAAAGTAATAAAACGAGAGTCGGGAGGAGAGGAACGAGGGATTAGATTAGAGTTGAGAAAAATGTACCTTTGCCTTCAAAATAATGGGGGCACTTTTCACGGAGATTCGAATTCGATTGGCGATCGAGCGGTTTCGGTGGATCGTTCGAGGCGCACGTGCGACTTACGCCTAAATTCGATAAACCGCAATTTCCTGTCCATACACAGTGATAGGCGTCCGTTTGACATCGCGCCAATTGTAACGTGTAACACAACAACAACAACAACAACAACGAGGATAAAATAAAATGTAATCCTCGTCGATTCATAATAATTTCGATAAACAATTTGAAACGTGAAGAAAATCAGTTTTCGAAAAGAGAATTTCAGATCTAGACGGGTTACACTTTGGGTTCTTCTTCTATTTCTCCATTTTCTTTTTCCTTTTCACACGCGCGACTATGTTACGCGTACGTTACGTATACGTAATGCAAAGCTCGAAAATATAAATTTTAGTTCGACGAGAGAAGATTTTGTGACGAATTGTTCGGTCGTCGATGGATGATCCGTTTTGAACGGAGATGGAATGCTCGATCGAGGAATAATTCCAAGATAATGCCGAGTTTTCGATTTTATTCGAACGATACGGCACTTATCGCCGAGCATCTTATCGTTCGATTGATTGAGCGTGACACAGAAGATGGTCGGCCGTTGTAATTGAATCGAGAATTTTGTAGGGGAATATAATTGAAATGGAATTTATCGAGAAAAGAATGAATTTGTGACAGATTAATAATAGTCGGAAAATTGATAACGATCGTTTAAGCTTTGCACACCTGCGCCTTATCGACATCTCGTTTCGACACGATTCGATAAATTACGTACATCGTGTTATCGAGTATCTATTATACGCCGGTATTATCGAATCGTTCGTTGTACACACGTATGCATTTTTCCATCTATTTGCATGCCATTACGAGAAACGAAATGTTCGAAAATCGAGATCGACGCGCCATCTTGATTCCAGGAGATATTTCGCTAGAATTAGGAAGGAAAGGAAGGGAAAATTGATCAACGGAGCGGAATAAAAACAACTTTGGTACCGAATAATCATATTTTAATGACTCAATGATTGTACAAATGGATCATCCTTGAACATTTCCGCATAACCGAGGAACGATAACAATAAATACAAGGAATTACCGTAATTATAATGTTCAATTACTAATGTATAATTACACAATAGATGGAAACGTAAACAACATGGTTTACACTGCGCGTTCGCGTATTTTTTTTTTTCTTTTTTTTTTATTATACGTACTTACAAGGTTTCCCTCCCCCCCCCTCTTTTTTTTATTTCTTTTCTTTTTTATTCTTTTTTTTTTCCCCTCTCCCTTTCTTTTCCACTCATCGTCCAAGATTCATCGCACACAAGAGTCGCGTGTAAAGACGTATTTACGTGACACAATGAAAGGAAAAAAAAAAGAAGATGGAAAGACTTCAGTTACATAGTTTACTGTATCGTTATCCTATCCTTGTTTCGTCTATTACCACGAACAGCTCACCCTGTTCCAATTTGCTTTTTTTTTCGCATTTTTCTTTTTTTCTTTTTTTTTTTTTTTCACTCCCGCTTATATAATTATACAATAATAATCCTATCGATCGTTTAAAATGTTCGGATTCACATCCACTCGAACGATTTGTGTATACTTTTCCGCCATCTCTATCTATCTATTTCCTCTCTACGCGCATGCACTCACGCATTCTCTCTTTCTCTCTTCGTTTTTCTCTTCTTTCTCACTTACTTCTTTCACACGCACATGTATACGTACACTTCTCTCTCTCTTTCTCTCTCTCTCTCGCTCGCTCGTTCAATCCCACTTCGTTATCCTTCTCCCTTTTCTCTTCATCCCCACTCTTCACTCCCTTTCCAATATAACAGTATCGAAGTTGTCGTCGTCATAATTCAAGTACATTATGTTCAACGGTATCGATAAAGTTTTTTATTTCAATAAAATTTGTGGATAATGTCAATAATATTGTATAATAGATGATAATTATTCGACGATTCACTGCGATTCGGGGCGAAAAATATGAAACTCGTTACTAGGCCAACTATGTTTTACCAAGATACGTCTCCACCTACATTTCGTCCATTATTCGCCATTTTTTCTCGTTTCATCCGCGTGTTCATTCTGGGGCCGCGTGTTTATCTTTAATCTTCAGGAACTTTGCGCGTTTTCTCGAAACCTGTATCCCTCCTCGAACACAAAGAAAATTATCGCGGGTCCAAGATTCTCTCTTTATTACTCTCTCTTCCTTTTCCTCGCAAAATGGGCTGATTCTCCATTTCTCGATTTATCCTTATTAAATAACGACGAAATATTATTGTTGTTCATTAAAACGCTATCGTGAACGTGATTAACGATAATTATTACGCTTATCCCTGTACTCCCTCTTTCTCCCTTTTCTTTCTTTCTTTCTTTCTTCTTCTTCTTTGATTTGAAACGAAAAAAGAAAAAGAAACGAATAGCAGTCTAAAAGCTTCGCATTGATTGTCAAAATTTAATACGAAACGTTTACAATTTTCTT